GCATGACTTTTGTCTACTTCACAATCTCTTTCCATAAGCGGGAACGCCCATCAGAGGTACAAAATGTGTCTACCAGGGCAAATACTACCCCTACAGTCATTACGGCCGCAGTAAAATATCAAACAGATATCAATGAAACAGACGATTCAGATATGAACGGAACTCTTCATCAATTGATCGATTTCAAAGACTTGGGGAGGAATAAGAAAGCAGTATTGCTATTGATCATCGTTAGCACTGCACCATCAAGATTTGAAAGAAGACAGGCAATAAGAGAAACATGGTGGAAACATTGTTCTGATGGCAATCAGGCTCAGGTAGGCAGGCAAGATAGGTTGTTTATAATTATCACCAGTTATCTCACGATGACGTTATTTTTAGTTATTTATAGCGAAATTTTCTACCGACGAAGACGATGCCGACGATGCGACGACGACGGCAACAAGCAAATATCAACAGCTTTAGATTATCAAAACATCAACTTTCCACGTGCATCACACTTTGTTTTTTGTATGTTCATTATTGTTGCTCAATGACCTCGACGTCAAATTCCTAATTTCACGTTTTACACCGAGGACGTGAACAAAAGACACTGATTCTGAACTTGGATACAGTCCTTTTGGAATAAACCATCAGAAAAATTCGCCACAATTTGACAATTAAACGAGGTCGAATGGTAATTAGCAGCAATTATGTTGAAAACAGCGCGAATACTAGCAAAGTGATCTTTTGGTTCGATCGTTCTTGTAGGTACAAATAACTCCTCAATGAATCATTGGCGAAGGTGTCTAGGTTGCAAGTAGAGAAAAGAGAATTTAAGAGTGAATGTCTCTAAAAATCAAACAAAATCGGAAAAATCGCGGCCACGGTCAAAAATCGATTTCGCTCCTTTTTGGTGTGTAGTAAGCCTAAGGTGTGTAATGAAATGAAATGAGATTAGTTTTTGAAAATATTCTTTTTAACGGCCACAAACAAAAAACCGTCTCGACCCAAAGTATCAAAATATCAAAATTTCATTTTTTTTAATCAATGAGGCTAACTGATGAACATGGGACTCATAGATTCTATGATGTCTCGCGATTCTCAACCTCGTCCCCACTGTACCTTTCCCTGGATTTTGGATAAAATGAGATGGACACAAGCGATAGTCACTGCTGTCTCACATTTTTTGGTCCAAAGTAGGGTCAGGATTTTGAGAATCGGACAGTACAACCCCACCAAGAATTTTCAGGAGTACCCCCCCGGGAGACTTGAAGCCTGGTAGCAAGTTTACCTGTCAGCATCCACTTGCTAATTATCAGATGCTTTAAGGGTCAGTGATCATTTCAACACCATTATTTTGGATTAAGAAATCGACGCAAGTCTTATGTTTGCCTCTAATCTAAATGAAACTAAAAATGGCCGTTTTGTCTCCACTACTCCATGACTATACAGGGCCGAACACGGAAAGCAACGTTTTGAGGCAAGGGTGAGTACACCGTCAGCTAAGTCCACCTTCATGATAAATAGTAGTCAATCTTGCGAAGAATAGCTCATCAGAAGCCCATCAATCTCCCATACAAACCCTTGGAGTCAACACTATCCCGAGCAGATTTATCAACAGAATGATCCGCGGGAAGGCTTCGCACGCCGACCTTATGATCCATTACCATTATTACCATCCTATTCCTCATCGTCATCATTATCATCATCAACACCCTCATCATATACATTCCCCAAAAGTGATGATAGCAACGTTTCAGGTTAAAACTCCGTAGTTTTCAATTGCATTTTTGTCCTTAGTATTGTTAGGCCGTTTTTTACATGAGGAAACTTTCAAAGTTTGATTTTAAGTGACAGGACGCGAGGAAACATCTCTTTTTCAAAACCGTAGTGTTCCGCACGTTTTTGCTTTTTGTTCCTTTAATTGCTTTAGGAACAACCTAGGAACGCACAATAAAGGAACTTTCTTTACACTATAGGAACAAAGGTCGGCAAAATTCGGAACAATCTGGTCCGTTAGCAGCAAATTGGAATACAAAGTTCCTTTTCATTCTAGTCATAAGGAACAACTGGTTCCTCTTTTATCCTTTCAGGAACAAAAGGTCCTCTTTCAACAATTCCGATTTCCCTTCATGTTCCTTTCGAAGTGATTGGGGAACAAATCTTCCCAATCTAATTTCTCGCTCGACACAGTAAGGAACAAATGGTTCCTATTTACTGGCATATCCACTGCTGTTCGGAACGCCCTGTTCCCTTTCGGTTCAAATTGTACCTATTCATGCCCAACAGGAACGGAATTGTTCTTAATCGAGGTGGTTTTTTTTGTTTCTCAAGATGAGTGTTATGTTCCGCATATAAATGGGAACAGGTTTCGAATTTGTGACAGAGGAACTAGCGTTCCATTTTGCGCAAACTGTAAAAAGGAATAGGGAACAATAGTTCCTATTTATCGTAGGCTATCTGAAACTACTGTCCATTACTTCCGCTATACAAATTTATCAAAACATATATCCTTCAGCAATCAAGTTAACTACGAGACTTGCCCTCTACATGTTTAATCTTGTTTGGGCTTGCCCGCGCAAGTTCAGGCTTGTGTCTTTGTTTCTTTTGATTAATTGTGTACCAAATACCGGTCATGTTGAAACGCAGACCATGCAGACTGCAGACTGCAGACTGTGCAGACTGAGTGTTATTATTTTTTTTACTTGTACCTTAATTTTCTAGTGAAATCTTTCGCTGTGGCTATATGGCCGGTAACTGGTCAAGGTTTTCAAAACACTAAATGGCTAGCAGGTCCTATATTCTCAGTAAATTTCGCAGTCCACTCAATGGCAAAGAACAAATACTGAAAACTCGATATTATTTCTATCAACGCAAAAGTTAAGGTTACCTTGTACAAAAAAGCTTTTTTGTTTCATCATAACGTCGACAAGATAATGTTGAAGTGTATTTCAGCTCCAGAAGGGAACTAACGCGTAGAGACTTTGATCAGGATCAGACTGAATTTTTTCGATTTGTGAAATTTACTGAGAATATGGGACTGCCGGCCATTTAGTGTTTTGAAAACCTTGACCGGTAGTTGAGCTGAAAAAAGTTCTAAGTGTCACAAAACACGGTTTCGTCTTCTGAGCCCAGCGTAAGCCAAACACTAGACTTGAGATCTATAAAGCATTTCAGGATCGCTTGACCTGTCTTAATCTACATGTGATAGTTTAGATTAGCTAGAATCTTTCGATTTTGTGAAATTTACTGAGAATATAGGACTGCCGGCCATTTAGTGTTTTGAAAACCTTGACCGGTTACCGGCCATATAGCCGCAGCGTTCCTCAATTTCCTTGATTGTTGATGATCGTCTTTGGTTTCACTCTATAATTCAAACCGGTGACTTGCTGTCATTTCTTCAAATATACATGTCGTTGTTAGCTCGGAAGATTCGGGTAAGACTTTTGTTTATGTATTGTTTTTATTCGATTCTCAAGAGTGCCCTTCTGGGCGGGTTTTCACTCGAGGATCGACATTGTATTTGCTCCATGCATTCACGCTAATAAGTGGTAGTGGTTTGAAACCGACAATCTTGTTCGAGTATCATGGTTCTTGTTTATGCAGTTCCAAAACTAAATAGTTCATTAGTAACAAATGTATTATTTGTACAACTCGAAGATGTGGAGAGGGGTTTTAATGCGCATTGAACTAGATCCCCCGCCGTGTATTTTAGGTATATTTTGTCTTAATTTTCATTGAATATTATCTGTGAGAAGTTTCAAGTCGCTGCCCTTCTTCTCTTAATTCTGACGCTTACGGAACTGCCAAACTGGAGGAAATCAGAATATTTATTTTTAGGTAGATATACCGTTGATTTATTTACACATTTTAGAGCAAGGCCCATCTCTCAAACGTCTTGGTTTGATATCCCGAGCTAACAATGATAAAATCGGTATCTGTAAGATTTAAAGAAATGACGGCAAGTCACCGGTTTGAATTACAGAGTGAGACTAAAGACGATCATCAACAACCAAGAAAATTGAGGAAATGTCTCTCTCGTAGCCGTTGTAGGAAGCCGAAAAGCGTTTTATTTTAAGTCACTTAACCTGAAAAAGCTTCTTCTACTAGAAAAATAAATAGTCGTGGCAATATAATACAGTTACAGAAAGAAACAGCTTACCTTCCTCCATCGTGCTCGCTCCTGCGAGAAAGAGGCGCAGCTAAAAGCAAGTGAAACTGCTTTTACATCTGCCGGTAAACATGAGCCCATGATTTTCTCATTTCCTACTGATGACCCTTGCAGGTAAACATCAGTGCACATATATAATGAGAGGAAGCAGGAAACTATAGTAAAAATTTTACTAGAAAATTAATGTACAAGTAAAAAAATAACACTCAGTCTGCACATTCTGCACAGTCTGCACGGTCTGCACAGTCAGCAGTCTGCATGGTCTGCGTTTCAACATGACCGACCAAGTACGGACAACAAAACAATGGGGCAAGGGCAAGAATGACCAAGTGTGGGCAGAGATGGGTTAACAAATATTTCATTGGCGAATAGGATGATCCCTTGGCGACCCTTTTGTTGGTATAAGTGCATGCATACTTTAGAAAGATATCGATTTCAAGCTGATGCTTATGAGAAACAAACGAGGCAAGGATGTCAACTGGTCAAAGTTAGCAAATGCATCGCCTAAACCAAAGAGACTTCACTTAGAAGAGAATGACTGTGATGGTCTTTTTCACTGCCCAATGCAAATTTGTAACCACGATGAATTCACTACGCAAAGAGGCTGTAGAAAACACGTAAAGAACAAACGCAGTTGGTACTATTACTTCGACGAGAAGCCAGACAGTGCTCAAATCGATACGCTTAATGTCGATGAAAACAACAAATGTGAAGCCAGTGATCAGAAGATTATACCACGTAAAAGCAAGGCAATTGCCTCTTTTGATCCTACAAACAACATTGCCAAGAACTTTTATTCGTGGCTAACTGGCAGTGGTGGGGGCTGTAAAGTGATCGACAAGCACAACAGAACGTAAGCAAGTGCTTGAAGATTCTCAAGTTTTATTGCAAAGACGAAGAGGAGCTCACATTTGACATTGTGGACTTAAGTTTATGTGCACCGAATCTCCTTTTCAAGTTTGTTGATACAATGCAGGATGCTTGGAATCTGGGACACGCGGGACGCATAGGCTACTTGGATGCCATTGCAGAATTGGTGAATTGTCGAAAAGTGAATGGAGCATCGGAATCAGTATTGAGAGGGCTGGCTTCAACAGAAATTTACTTGACAAAAGTGCGCAAAATCGTTTCCAAAATGATGCGGTTGCAGTAGACCAGTGAACTGGACATCGATGCCTTAGAAGCCAATGGGCACTCCACCACACTAGAAGAACTTTTGGAAGTCGTGGGGCGCTACTTGCCGCGCTACGAGATCGTACTGAAATCATGTAAGGAGAAACTGGGTGCTATTTTGCCAATAGATTTATCTTTTGCTACTAAATTTTTGGCCGTCTATTTATTTATCAAGGTTAAGGGTTCGCGCCCCATGACATATCAGTACTTAACGGTGGAAATGGTGAACAAAGCCAAGACTAACGGTGGATTTATAGACCAGAAAATGTTCAAAGCGGCTGGAAAATTTGGCTTCGATTCTCTTTACCTGACTGAGACGGGCATGCAAGTTTTGGATGGCTACATCAACCACATTCGCCCCCTACTCAGACCGACCTGCGACTTTATATTGGTGGCAAGAAATGGAGGGCAGCGCAATAAGCTGGGAGAGCTAATGAGTAAACTGGTCTTCGATGCAACGGGCAAATACGTTCACCCAACTCGCTATCGACTGAACGTGGAGACTGCGAGCTGCAGGCAGCTGAGCAGCAGAGCGCAGAGCACAATCTCCGAAGACCAGAAACATAGCTCTGTTGTTGCAAGGGTTCACTATCAGAAGCAGCGATCGCGCGAGTTGGCGAGCAAAGCAAAGCAATATGGTTCATTATTATATGGAGAAGTCTGTTCTGACCATGCGATTGGTCAATTTGCGGTCCATAACTTACTTTACGGACCAAAATCAAACGCAGTTGCTCAATTTGCTCTCTAGATCGTTCTCTGCGAAAAGAGATCAAGAGAAAACTGTGACAGAATGTCTGTTAACCCTACTGAGTCTAATGACCTGGAAGTAGACATCGTCCTGCCAAATTTTGACCTAAATGTATTGAGAAAGAAGCGGACGAAGACGTTAATCATAGGAGAGAAGACGATTCCAGCCAAGAAATTGACAACTTCATCCACGGCTAAAAATCGAAAAAGAGTAAAAAAAAACAAACTAGACTGGCAGAGATTTAACGCCTCTTGCCAAGGAAAAATGAGTGGCTGAATTGACATGACAGACATACCTGCACCTGATCTTGACAAGCTCCTTTGCAGTTTTTTTTCAAAGACCTGAGAAAAAAAGATGACAGCGACTACGAGCCCGACAGGGTCTCCAGTTTTCAAAAGAGCAACCAGCGCCACATTACTACCCTTTAACATCCTCAAAGATGATGCTTTCTCCCGTTCAAGGAGAATCTTGGCCGCCAAGAGAAAGAGCTTAGTTAAGGAAGGACGTGGAAACAAACCGAACGCTAGCTGTGAGTTGACGGATGAAGAAGAAGCGAAGCTCTTTGAAGCAGGTAAATTCGGAAATCACAATCCACTGGCATTGCAGCGCACCCTGTTGTGGTTTTTATCAATGCAGTTTGGCTTCAGAGCCAGGGATGAAAGTAGGAAGTTGTGTTGGGGAGATATAGTGCTGGACGTCGACGCCGTGACCGGCCGTGAGGTGCTAGTGTGGACAGCCGAAAGGGGAAGCAAAACGAGCCAAGGTCTCAAACGCGGTCATCAACGTCAATTCTGTCCTAAACCGTTTGCCACCGGCACAAACAGATGCCCTGTTCTTTATTACAATTTGTTTAAGGCCCGCCGTCCGCAGAAAGCTAACAGCCCAGAATCACCGTTCTCTCTGGCAGTTAATCACCAAACCTGGCGCCAAAGCCAAGTTTGGTACAAGGGCTAACCACTCGGCAAGAACGAAATCGGGAAATTTATGTCCACGGCGGCAAAAAATGTCGGTTTAGCAGCTCAAAACAAGAAGATATCCAATCATTCCGTCCGTAAAACATCAATTTCCCGTCTGCTTGATGCTGGTGTGCCAGGAAATTTTGTGATGCAACTAAGTGGCCACAAAAATCTTCAAAGTTTGAGCTCATACAAATCAGCTTCCATCGCACACCGGCGCCATATGTCCGATACGTTGAGTAGAGGATCGATGAGTAATAATGGCACCACGTCAGTTCGCGAACAAATCTTTCACACATCGTTGTTTTCAGCTGAGAGCCAGACAAGGTCAGCTCCAAATCCCTCTCCCGAATTCTACCAAGGCCAAAGCTTTTTCGCAGGAGCAACAATCAGCACAATGAACAACTGTGTTTTTAATATCGTTCCATCAAGCTCCGCAAAGCGCCCACGCATTGATAATCAGGAGTAGAGGCTGCTTTACTTTTAAGTGCGGACTTCACGATAGTTGATCTTTTCCATTTTTGTGCACTTACAGAACTCTTAGTTTTGACGAAATTTTGAACTCTTCTTAACATGGCGCATTTTTATGTTGTTTTCACTGTCTCGGAAAGCCTTTGTTATGTGCTACTGTTTTCGTGAGCCAATAAAAACTTTATTTTTTGACAGTTGTCAAATGACTGTCAAATCGATCGCGCGTCTTGTTTCCGGTCCCCCAAACAGGAAGACGCCATATAATAAACATCTTATTAGCCTCGTTTTTTCGGTCCGTACTGTAAATTACGGATCCTCGTTTTTTTTCCATCGATTTATGGCCCGCGCGCTTCGCTTTTGGGCAATAAATTGATGGAAAAAAACTCGGTCCGTAATTTACAGTACGGACCGAAAACTCGGCTAATAAGAGGTATGTACATGACAAGCAACATTTTATTGTTGTTGTAAGAAGAATAACTTACTGTTGACTCGAGAAATAATGTTTATTTTGTTGCTTGGGCAACGTTTTTTCGTAACTCGCTGGCTTGAGGAGGAACGCTTGAACTTATTGGCTTCAGTGGTTATGGTTCGGTCTGACATTGCATTGCTAGGGACAGGAGTCATGAAAAATGTCGCTTCGTCATTTTCGCTGTCATCGTCAGATCCAGTAACGTAGCTGAACGTGCACGGCGACTGCGTGCCATATTGTTCCTGGTTGTCGTGGAGCAAGTAATTCGGCGTTCTCGGTTTTTCTTGCTCTAATACCTCTTCCATTTCTTCTCTCTGGCTCGAGCTCGGGACTGGCAGCGCTTCGGAGAGGCTTTTCACCAAGTGTTGGTCTTCCTTTCTCAACAGTCCCAGCTCCACGCAGACCTTTTTCCTCTCCGCAAGGGCCTTGAGCTTTTCTTCTAGGATTTCACGCAGGGCATCCATTGAGTCTCTCGTGTCAGGCGAAATACGTGATTCCAGGGTGACCATGTATTCTGTATTCCTCAACCATGGTGACTGGAATGCTTCCCTTGACCTCTTCTTCTTCTCTTTTCGATCCGCACCGGCTTTCATCTGTTCGTGAGTGGCCAGATCATTTCTTATCGGCGTGGGAAGGGGATCGTTTGGATCGTGGGGTAGTAAACGTACATTTTCTTCGGAGACGCCCTTCGATCTGAGACGCTGTTGAAATCTCTCGTGCCGTTGCATCTCCCGCCGCATCCTCTCTTCGTTTTGCTGTAAACGCTTTTCCAGTAAGAGACTGAGGTGACGGTTATCCAAAGACCCCGGTAAGGTTTGTGCGAGCGAGTTCTTTAACGCGTGTGTGGTGTCATCGTCATCATCGGCATCCACGATTTGGTCCCCGTTATCGTCTCCTGCAGTGGCCTCTTCGTCTCGGGGATTTGCGCGTAAATCAGCTAAGAGGTCGGTCAACTGCACATTTCTTAAAACCTCTTTCTCCGTCTCCAACAGTGCACCCTCTTCGTTTGGTGTGTTTCTCTCCGCGTCTTCGTCGTCTTCATCAGAACTTTCTTCTTCAGCTGTATCTACCCTCGCTTTCGATGCAGCCCACTCAACACATTCTATAGGGTGCTTGCGCAGCCACTGGGCAGCCTTCTTTTTTGGACTTGACAAGCTTTTGAAGAAGTAATACCTTAGCCTTCGGTCCATAGCCTGTTGATCTTCCTCCTTGAATTGAAGTTTTTGCTATGCAGTCATGAACATGGGACATCGATTGAAAAATGACTTGGCTGTTTTGTACTTGACATCGCAGGCTGTGTGAGTATCTTCCAGTCGTCCACATCGAGGGTCGACGGAGTGGCCTCGTCAATGAATATCACCTCGGTGTCCTTGACAATCATTGCCTTGTTGAACACTTTTTGCTTGGTTACAGTTGCTACGTTGCTGTGGTGAATCAGGCTCAGTATTGGGTAAAACAGGCTTGTCTTTCCGCTGTCGGGCTCACCGACAAGGCATGGCACTCTCCCTTTGTGCTTCGTTTGGTTGAAATTCTGCAGCCTCACGAAATCTTCGCAAAACAAACCAATCTCGTTTTCTATCAGGCTGTTTTCAAAACGTCTTGGAAGTATTTAGGCTGCGGGACTTTGGAGGGATCATAACGTGAGAAAGCCCTGGGAGTCACAAGGCCCATTTTCTCTGCTGGAATTGTGTTCTTCAAGAACCGTCTTTCCGAGACAGACCAACATTTCCCTTCGTTCACCTCTATGAGGGTGTAGTCGACAACAATGGGACGAATTACTTCACAATCGGGGTCAGCCAGGATATCGATAACTTTTTTCACGTCCCTCAGCATTCTTGCCTTAAATGACTCCTTTGCAGCTAAACTGTTCACAAACGCCTTCACATCACACTTGTAGGAGTAGGTGTAAGTGGCACCTTCACACTTTTTATGAACAGTGCCCCTGTAAAGGGCGTATTCCAGTCTCTTCATCGAAATCGAGATGTCATTTATGAGGACTGTAAGTTTTTCACCTAGCCGTGGTTCCATGCTGTCACTTGTTCTTTGTTCTTGGGATTCTTGGCTGTTACCATCCAAGCCATAACGATCAATCACTAACTTCACACCCATCATTTTATCTATTGCTTCAGAAACAATAGCCTTAAACGAGGATTGGATGATACGAACGCTGACTACGTTTTCCGTTCCACATTCCTCCACATCGATTGATTCAGAATCGCTCAAAAAACCCCTCCGCGACAGTCAGAAAACACTGCTGGTAGGAAGATGTTACTAGGTCCTGCATAGACTTGTCGTTGTGATCCTTTAATACTTTGAATAATTCCTTCATCGCAAGGAGATTCTTTGCCTTGTCGACAGGGAATCTTATTTTGAAAAAAAGAAATAGAAAGTTTGCTTGACTGAAATAAAATAAACAAAACAAAGTTAAGGCTATCCAACGCTTTATTTTGCTATAAGAAAATACTTTGACATGATGACGAGCCAAGCATGAGAAAATGATTTCATTCAGAATCTTGTAAAAAATTTACCTTGATATATACTGCAAAGACTAACCGTAAAAAGACAGTATGTTAAGTATTATGCAGACTGTTAGTAATAGTTTATACCAGGGTGGGGCTAGACATATTTTGCATCCAGCAGGGATACAATTATACTTAAATAAAATCCTACAAATAAACAATTCTAGAAGTATTCCCTGTAAAACTCTTATAATCACCAACTCGTGACGGAAACAGAAACAGTTAAAAAAAGCTTATTAAATGTTGTTTTACCTTAAATGTTTGTACAACAAAACTCTAGGACAAATGCTATAAAAACACTGATTTTGACATAAAATAAAGTTGTTGTTCTCGTTTTTGAAAGATCCGCACGTTTGTAAAAACAATTAATTTATGATGCACGAAGAGAAAACGTACCTTGTTTGCGACTGCATGAACGCCACATTCAAGTAAGGCGCGGTGAATGGTGATGGGATTTGCTGGGGCTCCACTAGGTGTACTCAGCGCAATCCAATAATTTATGGGGGAAAAAAGCTTTTTGTTCACCAAAGCTGGGAGGCTAGAAATCCAGCTTTGGCTTGAAGAGCTTGACACTTGACTTGTGAAATGCTTGCTATCGCTTTCCTCTCCGTTATTCTCTAGGTTGTTTTGATTTTTCTTCGGCGCTTTCTTTGGCCCTTGTGTGCCGATAGCACTAGAGAAAGAGGCCACACTTTGTACTCCTGCGAAAAATGATATCGAAATCAGGTTTGCTTATTCAACGGATCGATTCGTAATAAGGATTCATAATTGACATGTCAATTCATTTTGAATACGAAACTTGCAACGCTTTGTCGCAAGCCTCTCGCGTCCTGCACACCTCGTTCCATCCTCTCTGTAGGCCTTCATCGATATTGCATGTACACTTACAACTCACTACACTACATTTGTCCACAACTATTTGACTTAAATACCACAAAGCAGCTCCTTTAATATTCTCACCGTTCAGTTGGCGACAAGGAAAATTTGCTCTTCGCTCGCTCATCGTGAAGCGAAACATGTCACTTCACTGTGAATAATTATATCAATGAAATGTTCCCAGTAGACAAATTCTAACACCCTTATCCATCGCCCAACCTTAGTCACACAGAGTTATTACGTAATCCATAATGTGATAATTGACAACTATTACTAACGACCATTTGATCTAAATTAGCGCCTTGATCCCGTTTCCGTGAAATCCGTGAAATCTGCAAAATCCTATGACAGAAAAACCTTCTTTGTGATAAATTCCAGCTACTGAAATCCACATGAACTGCCAGAATTACCCTCAAAAAGAAATAAAAACAATAATATTAATAATAATAATAATAATTATTATTATTATTATTATTATTAAAATACTAAAATAATAACAATAATAATTATTATTATTATTATTATTAGTTTTATCATGATTGTTTTTTCCGTGAAATCCGTTGTATCCAGCATAAAAGTAGAGTTTCTTCTTTGATACCTTCATTAAAATTCTTATTTCCGTTAAGCGCAAGAAATCTGTATTGTCCACTCTTATGGAATACAACTCTGGTGTCCGTCAATGTCAATTATAACTTTATTCCGGAGGAAGGATTTTCCGGATTTAGCGAATTTAGTTGATTTTTTTCTCTATTTTACTCGATGTGTTTTAGAAACAGGAGAGTGATGTATGTGTTTGTTTTGATTTAACGCTCAAAATTCTCAATGAACGATACAAGCAGTATCATGAAGTAAGATCGCCCTGGGTAAACCCTTGTTTGCTGATATAAATTTAAGGCTAACATCTCTTCATACAGTACAGGAACAAGCGTTCCTTTCAATGGCCGTTCCTCTCACGAGGAACGCTTTCGCGGAAAAAACGTACAGATTTATTTGCAGTTTTTGGCAAAAGTCTGAGAATGTGCTTTTTAGCTTTTTCCTGCATAAAACTTCTAAGAGATATAGTTTTAGGAAGATCTTCGCCGTACTTTATATTATTTTAAGGCTTCAAAAAAAGGGAACTGAATTTTTGGGAAACGATCATTATCATCATCTGATCATAATCATGAGCGGTAGCAGCAGAAGAAGAATCACCATCATCAGTACCATCTTTATTATCGTCACATCAACATCTTCACCGTTATCACTATCATCATCATCATAATCATTACAAAACCATTTTCATCATCATCATCATCATCATCATCATCTTCATCATCGTCGTCGTCGTCATCGTTATTACAACCGTTTGGAACAAAGCCATGCTGAAAAAGAGGTGGAGTATATGCCAGATTAGGTGGGACATCATTGTTATTTTATTTCACAACCTACAAAAGTGCTCCAGCTTACAAAAGGGCTAAATTTTAAGATTAATAATATTAATAAAATTTCAATTGATTGCAATGATTGCGGCACAGTATATGTATTTCGATTACTAAATTACATTTACAAGTTGTTGAACTTTCTAAAAACGCGAACATTAATTCACAGTAAGCAAAATCGCGAATCGCAAAAAAAAAGATATTCCCGCAAAATACTAGCTATCGAAACAATCGCCCATCCCCAAACAAAAAGGGAAGAAGGACACCTGATCTCAGGTTACCATTCACCAGAAATGAGTGCCAGTCAGCGTAGTGGAAAGGCTGGTATTCAGTGTTTGCACGAATACCCAATTTTTCACTTTTTATTTAAACTGAATGACAAGAGAGCCTTCTGAGCAAGGCTACACATGATACCAGTGATTTGCATAATCATACTTTCCCTGAACAGCCGTCCAGAAAAAAAATCTGGCCCGGAAATTTTGGAAATTAGGTAGAGTTGCTTATCTGCCCATGAAAACTGACGTTGATGGAGACAATTTAAAAAGTTTAAATGCGTCTGGGTTTCGAGGGGTTGCCCAGGGTATGTTGAAGTATCGAGACCCTCATTCGAGTTGACCGGCACCAGTCTCGACTTTAGAAATAGAAAGAGTGCATTTTTATGTTATTATCAAACTGCCACCAATTTCTTTCACTCTGCACAGAACGCAAGAACTTTTATATGGCCATATTACTGAGTTTTGAAGTCGCGTTGACGTAAGTGCCTGGGTGGATATGAATAGATACTGAGACTAATTAGACGAGGCGAGTGTGACTCACGCAGTCGATTCCTTATTTTACAGTTATAGTCCAGAATGAAAGCAACGCTTTGAAAAACACACTATTTTATCTTACCTGTATCGTTTAAGCAACACAATGACAACAAATCACTATATAAATGAGCCAAAATTGTCATTTATCTATCTCGAATCAATCGCGTGACGCCTTGTTGTTTGTGACCAAAATTTTAGGTCAGATTGCAATTTTATGGAAATTCAGACGGCGCTCCCTCGAAAGCTTTACAAGATCCCAGTAAAACAAAACTGTAACTTTTAAAGACTGTATTTTAGGGATTTATGGTAGCAATCTCAACGATCTTCAGGCACTACCACATGCCTTTCCATCGCGATGATTTAACCCTGCTTTTGCATGTCCTTGAAGGGCTGTAAATGTTTTCTTGAAATTTCGAGTTTATTTCTTACAGAAATAACCCAAGACGAAAACTATCCATGTGTTTTAAAACAAGGCCCCTACTGAATAGTTATGGTAAAAGAAGACTGCCTGCTATGGTTCAGATCAAACACGACTATTTTGAACATAGTGAAATTTTGAGCTGGCGCGTAGGCAAATACGGCAAAATTATTTTTAACGGTTTATTTCAAAAGAAAAGCGTATTTCAAAACAATACTTCCACTTTACTGAAGGTAGTACATTAGCCTTTCCCTGGACGAAAAATAAGACGAATCGATTTTTTTGACTATGGCCACGAATTTTCGATTTTTGTTTGATTTTTACTGACATTCACACTTAATGTCGCGGATCTGCTTCTCCTGAAACGTTTTCTTCCATAAGCACCATTTCATCATTTTCGTTTCCTGTTTTTATCTCACGTATTTTATGGAACATTAGCCTGTTTCATGCTCCTAGGTAGTCGGGTCCGCTGAACTGAGAAAGCGGGAACATGAAAATAAAACGGGAGGAAACTGGGAGAGGAGGGGCTATCCCTTCCTTTTTAATTTTCCTGCTCCGCAAACTTTTCGCGTGCGTTTCAAATACTTGTCTTCCCCACTATCTGAGACCCTGGAACAGGCTAATGGTATATGTGTGAAAATCTTCATTATGAATCGGTATAGTATATTTCAAAGAGCTACTCAACGAGCAAGATAACTATTGACAGACAACATACAGATCAAGGGCATCCGCAGTGTCAACTATTACTAGTAATACTCTAGAGAACTGTTTCTTTTAAATTTCGTCTTATTCTCGTCCTTATGTATGCATAAGTTTAAAAAGTTTAAGTTAAAACTTATTAAACTTCTACTTATGAAAAGACAAAGGGTCAAGTTTCCCGATGACCTCTATTAGCAAAACAAAACACACAAGCTAAAGAGGTCTATTAACGGGCCCGAAAAGCTGTTGTCGTTTACATTAAAGCTCGAAGTTTCTGTAGGTTTACAGATAATATGATAAAACTGTCAGTATATAATTTGAATATTTGATTTCGGGCCCGCAAAGTTACCGGGACTTTCGAGAAACGGGCCCCATAGCCCCCCTAGGCGTTCTCGGCTTGGTCAATCCTGAACCGGGTTGTTTCAACCTCGTCCCCAGGGCGCTTTTCCCTTGGTTTGGAGGTGGGGCGGGAAAAGGCCCTGTCATCGACCGGTCAATCCGTCATTTTGATTGGTTGATTGAGGTAATTCATGTAAGAAAATGGCAAAATGAAAATAATTTATGCATTACACCGAGATCGAAATGGCAGAAAGTATGTCCACTAAAACGAAGATTTTGCAAGAAATCCAGTGGTGGTTCTCATGAGAGTCGCTACATACTTGCATACGAATATTCAGCAAGGTCGGCTTATCTAAACATCTGTATTCAAAGTTTATAAAACCTGTCGTATAAGAATTTCTGAGGGCAATACGAGGTCAGCAGTGTTATGTAGGAGTAGGGTTACATTCGTGGACAAGATGGACCAGTTTTTTCGGAGAGCTCAATCTGTAGACATAACGTCTGATCTAAGCTCAGAATATTCTGTAGAGCGATGCGTTGAACTTTCATCGTCTTCGCATCAGCCGTTTAAGCGTCTATCAAAGGATATGCCACTCGAAAGCTTCGATGTGGATGAGCCGCAATAAACACGGGTGGTCCGTTGCTAAGGCTTTTCTTCCCAAATACCTCTCAAAACCGAGAGTTTTAGGCCGTGGACAGAAGTAGAATGCATCGAATGGGACGAAACTTGGCAGGGAAGTAGTTTGATAAATTACCTGTTTATTCGGGTTTTTCTTTCATCCCATGTGACTTCTGTTGTGACGTTATAGATGATGTCCAAATTTGGCATCAGAACAAAATTTCAGGAAAGAAATAGTAAAAATTTTACGTTAGTTTTCTGTGTAGAATTCTATGATTTCTAGTAAAAACCCCATCTCAATCGGATAAAAAGGACTAAAGTTACAGCTACTTAAAGAAATTCAAATTTCCCCCAAGTGACTATATATGGTCAAAATTAGGGGTATCTTAAACGCGAGAACATTGAATGTATTGGAACAGGAGCAAGGACAAAGTTACATAAAATCACAATTGTAGTTTTTTCTACTTAGGTTATGTGGTGCTATGAGACGTTCTTCGTCACGAAATACGTCATTTTGACGTCACAATGACGTATTTCGTGACGAAAAGGCCTTTTAGCAGCACATAAGTAAAAAAAAGTAAGTAGAAAAAACTAAAATTTTGATTTTATGCAACTTTTTCCTTGCTTCTGTGACAATCCATTCATTGTTCTCGTGTTTAAAATCCCCCTAATTTTGACCATATATGGTCAAGTGAGGGGAAATTTGATTTCTTTTATTAGCTGTAACTTTACATCATTTTATCCGATTGAGATGGCGTTTTCACTATACATATTCTTATTCTGTAGCAAAAATGTCTGTAATGTTTTGAACACTGCTTTGCAAGTTTTTAATGTTGTTACTAAAAATAGTCATACTTTCAAGAAACATCAAAAATACCTTTACAATGGTAAAAATTTAAAGAAAATGCTTCTCTAATTAAGATGTTTTAATGTCTTGCTTCATTTGGAACATAAAATACTGTTCTGTGAGCCAAAAGTTGAATTTACGAAGTTGCGGAAGGAAAAGCCCTAGCAACCGACCATCGTGAAAAGGGGGTGATAGGCTAACACGACTTTTACTTCATGCCAAAATGATGCTTGTTATAATAAGTTATTTTTCTCTGCTGGATAGATTATGCTCTGGAAGGTTCTACATTTTCACTGAGCAAATGTGATTTTAGCCGCTTGTTTCACACTGAGAGATCATGGCACACACTTCGATTTACCGTGGTCTTTGTTTCTGGTCGGAGGATTTGCCCTCTGATGCAAGAGCAGTTTCTTTGACCTCTTTTCAAGCGTAAAGCTTTTTATTACGGTTGAATAAGGGTTCAAATTTTCTCCAAAGTGCCTTTTGGAGCTGAATAACTAAGCGATTTTCTTTAGTCCGTGAATGTAATGTTTTTCTGCAATGTTGTATCACGCGGGTCCCAGTTTGTTATTTTTCTTATAAGCTTTCCAGGATGTAAAATTATTACGGATAGTGATTTACAGGTCCAAAATTACAAGAATGAAGTGCAGCTTAAACTGAAGCTGCAGCAACTATGTGCAATTGCTTTGTGACTAGTAGACTCCAGCTTAGTGGTTTTCTAAAGATAATATGAGTCTTTGACTGGAGCGCGTATTTCCTTTCTTGGTAATCGCTTTTGAATAAGCTTAACATTGTTTGGCTGTTTTGTTATCGCCACTTTGTGATCAGGCAAGACCATCTTCGATGTTTTGTTTATCGTATGCAATCCTATGCTAATTTAGTACACCCACAAATTCTGGGTGTTTGGTGGTCATGTGACCAGTCGATGCCAGGGCCTTTTCCCGCCCCAGCCCTAAAGCCAGGGAAAAAGCTCTCTGGGGACGAGGTTGGGGTGGTTCAAAGCAGGGTTAAGATAACTCAGGGTTAGTGCGAAGTATAAATTCAGATATGAAAACTTAAAAAGCAAATTCAGTTTATTTCATTTTGCCTGCAATGTAACGAATTGATGCTCTATCAAGAATAGTGAAAATTGTCCAGTAAAATGCTATTGAGCAAACGAATAAGAAATCCCGAGTTAGCGCTAATCGGCTTTCGACCAACTGGGTCTTGGACTCTACCGTGAACTGTGACGTCACCGAGAGAGACTCTCCCGTTCTTTCCCAGACTTCGCGCGGACAACGGGCAAGATAGAACGCCCAGGGACTAGGCTGGAGTCCCAAGGCTTTTCTCTTGGACTCTGGGAAGGTTCCATCCAAGATTTACATGAGAAAGGCCCTGAAGATGGCTCACACGACAGCCGGGACAAGGGCAGTTCTAACCTAGTGGGTATAACTTGAATTTCTCTTTCTTCAGGTTGAATGTGTCTTCATGACTGATGGACTCATAAGAGACCGAACTCGACGTAACTTTATTTCAAACGAAAAGGATAAATACAAGCATATTAAGCTTCAGCCTCTTGAAGGAGGCCGTGGGCAGTTTGGATTCCGCTTCCTTAACCAAATCAAATGGGCAGCGGCGAAATTTAACTTTCAGTACCTACTTCGAATCGATGATGACTACTTCCTGTGTTTAAAAAGGCTTCTTTCCGAGCTTCCATCGAGGCCGAAACAAAATCTGGTCTGGGGATTTTTCCACTGTGAAGCAGGAATCACATGGATGGATGAAGCATTTATGATATTCTCTGAAGATATCATTCAAAAGTTCTTGGCGCAGAACGAAAGCTCGATGTTGTGTCATCCACATGCAGACCAACAAGTCATGTTGTGGCTGAGCAATATTCTACACAAAACATACTTCCACGATACTAGGTTACATCATGCGCCTCCAGCGTCATTTGTTGCTCGATTTAGTAACATCTCGAATGTTTGTGACTCCCATTTGGGCGCGCATGGAGCATACGTTAAGACCATGTATTATCTTGGGCTGAGGGCTAATGACAACGCTAAACACGTTTCAACTATTCCTGATTTTGCAAGATTTTGTACCACAAAGTTTGATCACCGTGCATTTCATCCTCACTGGCGATATGAACCCAAGCTCTGCAAAAATAACCCAACATGGAACAAAGGAAATGAAATGTGGGTTGGTAGAGAAGCTGGTCAATTTTTTTAAAAACTAGCACCAGTTTCAGTTATCACTGAAAATTTGAGCCCGATAAACCGAATACACAAAGAATGTATGAGCTCATGAACGTTTTGCCAACCAACCATTTGGCAGTATTTGATGGCTGCTATTTCCTTTGTTGTTGATTGCAGAAAGCTAAACTTGCACAAACTGCTCAAATTAACCATCTTTTTCAATTTTTGAACTTAGTTAGTGAAAAGCTATCCAACATAGTGTAAACATAGACTTAGTTAATTATCAAGGGTTTTATATTTCCAACAAACCTTTGCGAAAAAGGACTTTTAATACTTTTTATATTTCTGTAAAAAAGAGAAATTCCATTGTCTATGCACCTATAAACCAACCAACATGTGCAAAAAGGTGAACTTTATGGGGCACCAAATGTATTTTTATTATTTAGAGTGGTTATTTGTATATAACCAAAACAATGTTGGTTATTTATAAATAACCAAATTACAGTTTTATTATTTCTAAATAACCAAAACATAACCAAAAGTGAAATTTGGTTATCTAGCAAATAACGAAAAATTAAAAAGTGGTTATTTATTAAATAATCAAAATGCGAGATTGGTTATTTATTAAATAACCAAAATGCGAAATTGGTTATTTATTAAATGACCAAAATGCGAAATTGGTTTTTTATTACATAACCAAAATGCAGGGAAAATGAAAAATTGGTTATTTATAAACAAACTGGACAATTTGTTATTTAGCAAATAAACAAACATGGACGATTAAAAATCCAAAAACGTGTAAAAATGGTTATTTACCTAATTTGGTCTTAGCAAGTGGCCACGTGGCCCATTTTTCCGCTCATTTTCCATAACGACTTGCAGACTTCTATTTCCAACATGGCTTCTTCCACTTCCTTCACTTTCCTCTTTTCTCTTTCATTTACCTTCTTCTACCCTCATTTTCCTTCATTTACTTTCATTTTCCTCCGCACACCTTCATTCGCTTTTATTAATCTTCATTCACCTTCATTAATTTTAATTCACCTTCATTCTAATTCATTTACCTTCATCCACACTCATCCTTCGTCATTAATATTCATCTACTTACATAGGCCTACCGTCATCTACTTCCGTTTTCATGATAGTCCAGAGATTATCCAACGAATTGTCGTGCCGTCACATTATTCATTTCTGACTAATTTGTTCCCTTGTCCTTTAATCTTCAGACATTACACCTATTAAAAAATAATTTTGTATTTCCGTGAAACGTATCGTATTTTACACTGTTTTGTTATACAAGAGGGTCTTAACAAGGTATATATTTTCCCGACTGATCTCACATTTTGGCCATAAAAGTTTGATACCTGATCCAAAATTGTTGCAAATCGTGATCCCTGATCCCGTGAAAATCTTTTGATCCCTGGATTCAATTCTGTACTTGCTAAAAACTGAATGAAATACCAAATAAAGTGCCTCTCTCTTCGATTTCTTTTACAATTTTATTGGTCATATCATTTGCTGACTGGACAATTAACATTGGCTCCCGTCTGTTCTTTCGAGTTATCATAATTTCTATAATAATTCGTTCCACTTTAGAGCTCCCACAATGATGTATTCTTTAATAAACCTTTCGCACGCAAGTAGGGAGGAAAGCTGTAGCGCTGAAGGCGACCCAACTTAGTGGGATCTGGGGGCATGCTCCTCCGGAAATTTTTTATATTTAGGGTCTCGGAAATCCTATTCCTGCGTTTTCCTCGGGATATTTTCAGTAAACTGATACGCAGGAAAATGCTACTTTCCTGCTCCTGAGATCTCTTTGGGCAAAGATTGGCTTGACCAAGAATTCCACAATGTCAGGATGATTAGAGAATCCTGTCGCAATAGGCTTTGCGTTACGGGCAGCCATCTTGGATGAGCGTCAAAACTACTCAGGGACTATTTTTCTCGCTTCCACCCACACCGCCCCCTGCCCCCTGAGTAGTTTTGACACTCATCCAAGATGGCAGCCCGTAACGCAAAGTGCCCGATCTCGACGATCTTACGGAAAGATAGGGACTGTGAACATTCTCTAGTGGCATGTATCAGATTTGGATCGGTCAGTAGCTATCTTCAAAGCAGCTCGGAGCCATTTCTGCATTTAACCGCGCTATGTGTTTGGAAGAAGCCATGTTGGAAATAGAAGTCTGCAAGTCGTTATGGGAACTGAGCGGGAAAATGGGCCACGTGGCAACTTGCTCAGGCCAAATTAGGTAAATAACCATTTCTGTATTAAATAACCTTTTTTGCACAGTCTTGGATTTTTAATCGTCCATGTTTTATTTAATAAACAACCAACTGTCCAGTTTGTTTATAAACAACCAATTTTCCATTCTGCCTGCATTTTGGTTATTTAATAAATAACCAATTTCGCATTTTGGTTATTTAATAAATAACCAATCTCGCATTTTGGTTATTTAATAAATAACCAATTTCGCATTTTGGTTATTTGATAAATATCCAATCTCGCATTTGGTTATTTAGAAATAACCACTTTTTAATTTTTGGGTTTTTGCTAAATAACCAAATTTATATTTTGGTTATTTAGAAATAATAAAACTGTAATGTGGTTATTTGTAAATAACCAGCCTTGGTTTGGTTATATACAAATAACCACTCTAATTAATAAAAATACATTTGGCGCCCCATAATTTGGCGCTCTATAGAAGGTTTCGCAAATTTAAACTGCAGCTTAAAGGCCTAGTTGAATCTCGTTGGAAATATGCTATTGCGCGAGGATTTTCACACGAGAAAAAAATGATACGTCCAATAAGAATTGCGAACGATGTTTATTCAGGTGTGAGAATAGTGGTACGTCCAATCAGAAGCCACAGAGATTTGTGAGTTTCGCGCCAAAGTTCCCGCCTTATATATGCTCTTGCAGCTTGCAGCGTCCCTTCGCAGAAATTCAAAGGGAATCGTTTTTCTCAAATAGTTTTTCTCGTAATAAAAGTAAGAAACATCTCGGAAATTGGAGTGGAATAGTTTCGTTTGTTTCACTGTCGCTGAAGAAAACTGTAGAGAGCCGGCGAATCAACAGCGGAAGTGGAAACACAGAGCGAGACGTAAGCTGTGCTTTTTATCGGAGTTACGTTTTTTTCTTTATTACTTAAGACTTCAATAAATTCATTCATTTTCAATTGTGCATTTAGAACAAACAGTTAAGATCACTTGTAGTTCTTGGATTACCTCATATCCTTACCTTCATTATATTTTTCATGAAAGTTTTTACTAATAAGCTAATACTTCCATTTCGTTGTCATTTCGCGGCGTGTGTGTGTGTAACGACAATTTTCAGAATTTGGAAAGATTTGAAATGAAAAGGCCGCCAAAATGATGTCAGCATATAATAAACACAATACAACATGGAAAGTGCTTCGTACTCGTTTTTTGTATTGGAAACCTCACTCTCAAGCTCGTTCGCTGTACTTACTCTTTCGATTTCTTATACGTCAACAACTCGTGCGTAAATACCGTACTCCCGCACTTTCCATGAAGTATTGTCTAAGTATTTCAGGCCGCGTCCACACGTATCCGGATAGTTTTGAATCTGCAACTGTTTCTTTCCGGATACGGCTTCCGTTCACACGTATCCGGTGAATCCGTCATACGGATCCGCAACTTTTTGAAGAGTAGAAATTTTTGAAAACGCTATGAATCTGGAATCGTGCGGACGCTAAATCCGGAAATTTTTTTATCCTTTGACGTAACAAGATCGAGCCCAGTTCTTTGCAGTGAATAGAGGGTCCACTATAGGGTTCTCAAATCCTGCCTTCTCGCTTGTTTTTTCTTCTTAATCCCGCTATCCCGCCTGTTTTTACGTCCGAATCCCGATCCCGCCCTAATTTTTTCTACGAGTTTCTTGCTTTCATTATTAAAATATTAAAACGTCATACAATGTATAAGACTTGTCTTCTTGCAATAGGCAGCTTTGATGTTTAAGGTTCTTGACTTACCCATTAATAACCTCGGATCAGGCTCCGCAGTGGGGAAAAAGGCAAGAAACGGGATCAATTTTTTCGCCCTTTCCCCCCATGTGGAGCCCGTGGTCCCAGGCTAACTCATTAACTACCGTAATTTTATTTTCTGTTTTGTTTTGTTTTGTTTTTTTTTTTGTGAGCGCATCAGTACAAAAAAGAAGGTTTACTTCGATCTCAGTTCTGGCCATTTGGAAACAGCCTGTTTAGTTGGGTAGGTGGATGTTTCTATTGCTGTACTGATAGATTGCATTAGGCGATGAAGCCACACTGAATTGTCTACGCTGACTATGGGTCATGGAAAATGTGTATGAACACACTGGTTGTACAGATTTATAAATTGAATATTTAGCACAAATAGGATTTTTATGTTTCATGCCGATTCACATGTACTATCATACGCTTCAAGTCACGTTGCTTCTTATCTCTTATGTAAGAATAAGCCATAAGTATAACCTCAGATAACGATAATTATTCCATATAGACTTTATCGCACATTTTATTTGGGCAACGCCCAATCAGGCCACTAAGGTGGGCCACGTTTTTTAGACCTATTCGGCTATCGCTCCACTGCCATTCTGACTTGACGTCCGACAAGTGCAGTTCACAATTGCCACTGTCCAAGTCTTTCAGGTACGTTGTTTGTTTCTTGCTTTGTAGCTTCCATTTTATAGTTGTCTTCGTTTTGGTTTGGACTCCTCCCCTTTTTTACGTACTTAACATTACTGTGAGATATGGCTGGTAGCATTCCCAAGGTCCTCGTTCTTGGTCATTCGTTCGTTAAAAGGCTCAAAAATGATCTTGATAAAAACTTCGATCATCAGGCCTCCAGGACCTTTGGTCTTGTTGGCACCGCTGAAGTTCATTTACAGGGGACTGGCGGCCGTACTGTTGGCAAATTGCAGTCTTACGATTTGCATGTAGTTCGCCAACTTATGCCTGATATTGTAATTTTAGAAGTCGGCACAAATAATCTGCCCTCGGTCGCTCCTGAAGTCATCGAGGACCTTGTAGTCACTTT